TATCGAGATAGAAACAACAGACTGGTAGCAAATTTGAATATAATTGCTATGGAGACCAAATAAACAACAATGTCAAAACATGTCAAATTTTGGTTTTAGGCTTGTAATAAGAAAACGGCAAGATTTAAGTGGAAAATGAGATATTATTGATATAGGAAAAAAGGTAGCGCAACTGCCCACACAAAGCCCGAGATTGTAGAGTTACGGAAAACTAACTAAAAGATCAAAAAAGGGTAGACTCCATTGACACCAATTTAAAAGTGCTGATAATGTGAAAATATGAAGTAGAAATGATTTGTTATTGTGTTCTTATGGTTTAAAATCGTTACAGGATCCTATGGAAATAAAGATGATGTAAAATATCCAGTTTTGAAGTGAATGCAGAAAATCGAAACAGAATGGAAAAATGAATTTAAAATAATGTAAAATGATAAGTAAGTAGCATAACACTACATTTTCTCCCCGACCCTGGAAAATTTTTGACTTAGCAAAAATATTTGATATATACATTCTAAAATAAACCATAAAAACACAGCTTTGCAGAAACAGACATCACCAAGCAAAATCAGATATACTATCTCTTACATTCATCATCTGCATTCAGGTAAGGGTGGAGTTCACATTCAATGACTACCACTCTAAAAGTGTGTTTTAGAAAGGCTTATTTAAGGAGTTGTCATCCGCTCCTGCGTGGAAAAAAAAATTATTAAGGGAGTAGTCAACCGCTCCCAAGTGAAGATAAAGATAAAGAAATACCTCAAGTAAGCTTTAGTCGCTATGACTTAAGTAAAGATTAAGAATGGCCAGAGCGGTAGGGCTCAAAGCCAGAGATCAGCAACATCACCAACGAGATGTGTCTGAAATAAAAATAAAAAGTGACGATTAACCAACGAAAGTTCGAGGTCCTAAAGCAAGATGTGTTGAAGAACACTGGATTATCAAACAAACAAACAAATTAAAAGAAATAAAAATAATAAGGTGAGAATGATGGTGATATTTATACATATATACAAATTAACGGTTAATAAAAGTTAAGAAAATTTATGATTTTACATCTTTGATGTGCCACTTGCCTCTAACTCCATTAGGGTCTTCAAGCACATAGACTAGTGGTGACAGTTTAGCTATCACTTTGCACTTGATGAACTAAGGGGCAAGTTTAGCATTAAAGTATGCGCCGGCATTGCTTAAAACATGGTTTTTACGCCAAACAGTATCTCCCACATTAAATTCTTTAAAAGCCCGGCGAAGATCATAGCGAGCGCTATTTTTAGCGTGCGCTATGTGAATCGCTGATGGTAATCGATTCCACAAAGAAGTCGTGCGAGGAAGAAAACATCTTCTAAATCGCACAGTGGTGGACCGCCAATCATCCAGATGGTGTGGATGGTATCGGGAGTTCTGCCGCGATGTGCGTTCATGAAATTTGGCGGCTGGGATTAATCCGAACAATTCCTCAGAGCACTCCCCATGGTAGATGCGAAAGAAAATGCAAAGAGATGCAACATCTCTTCGCAGTGCCAATGAATCGAGCCGATCGGAAAGGGCTCGGTCGTCGACGATTCGAGCCGCTCTGCGCTGGATGCGGTCAAGTGGAAGGAGCTGGCACTGGGGAGCCCCTGCCCAGAGATGGGAACAGTATTCCATGTGAGGCCGAACCTGCGCCTTGTAAAGTTGCAGGCGGTGTGCCGGCATGAAATACTGTCCCGCTCTGCTGAGCACGCCAAGCTTTTTAGAGGCCAATTTGGCCTTCTCTTCCAAGTGACCACGAAACTGCACGTCACTCGATATGTCGACTCCGAGGATACCGATACTGGCTGAGGCAAGAAGGGGAGTGCCTTGAAACTGAGGAGATACGACAAAGGGGTTCTTTTTAGCGGTAAACGCGCAAACTTGTGTCTTCTGAGGATTAAACTGGACTAGATTTAGTCGCCCCCAATCCGAGACTTTGTCCAACAAAGACTCGACTTCAGACACAAGTTTGTTCCGGTACTCGGCGACGTTTTCCCGAGAAATATTGGCCCGGCCGGTGTATAGAGCATCACCAGTGCTGTCATCCGCATAGCAATGAATGTTACCAGTTAGCAACATATCATTGATATGCAGAAGAAACAGCGTTGGTGATAGCACACAGCCTTGTGGAACACCAGCGTTAATAGGCTTGTAGCCAGAACATGCACCGTCTACAACGACCTTGATGCTCCGATCTGCAAGGAAGCTGGTGATCCAATTGCACAATTTCTCGGGAAGCCCATAGGAAGGGAGCTTCGAAAGAAGCGCTTTGTGCCAAACCCGATCGAAGGCCTTCGCAATGTCCAGACTAACGGCCAACGCCTCCCCCTTGGACTCTACTGCCTCCGCCCATCTATGGGTCAGGTAGACTAGAAGATCACCAGCTGATCGACCCCGACGAAAACCGTATTGGCGGTCACTGATCAGCTGGTGATCCTCAAGGTACCGGATGAGCTGGCAGTTAATAATGGATTCCATTATTTTGGAGAACAAGGAGGTGATCGCGATAGGCCTATAGTTGGACGGGTCTGAGCGGTCGCCTTTTTTAGGGATCGGGTGGACAAAAGCTGTCTTCCATGAGTTCGGGACAACGCCATGGGAGTAGGAGTACCGGAAAAGACGCGTTAGAACCGGTGCCAACTCCGGAGCACACGTCCTCAGCACAATTGGGGGGATTCCGTCAGGCCCACTCGACTTGTGGATGTCAAGGGAGAGGAGTGCTCTGCGAACCGAGCGCTGTGAGAATAGCACATCCGGCATAGAGCACTCACACCGCGGGATGGTCGGCGGTGTGTTCCCCCCGTCATCAACAGTCGAGTTGGACGCAAAAAGGGAGCCTAAAAGGTCGGCCTTCTCTTTTGCGTCGTGGGCCAGTGAGTCGTCCTCCCTGTGCAGAGATGGTAGTGATGGCTTACAGAAATTCCCTTGGACAGCCTTGGCGAGAGACCAGAATGCACGGGTTCCCGAAGGAAGGCGAACTAGTTTCTCGCCAATTCTGCCTATGTGCTCTGACTTTGCCCTGGCAATAACTCTTTTGAAGGACCTGGAGGCGAAGTTATACTTCTTTTTAAGTGTGCTGGTGTTTAAATCCCGAGTCACCGAAGCCGCAGCCCAGGCTTGATAACACTCCTGCTTTCTGCGCAATGCAGTCTTACAGGAGCGACCAAACCAAGGCTGAGATCTGCCTCCGATGGGTACCACAGATGATGGAATAAATAGTTCCATTCCCTGTAGCACCACATCAGTGACAGAGTCAGCAACAGCGCTGGGATCATCCGGCGAGAAGCAAACCCGCCCCCATGGGTAGGATGCAAAGAAAGACCGCATTCCGTCCCAATCCGCCGACCTGTAATGCCAAACACGGCGGCAACCTGCAGAACGCAACCGCGAAGGGAGCGTGAGTGGCACCATACTCCGGATCAGACAATGGTCCGAAGAGCCGAGAGGGGCATCGACGGAAACCTGATATCCGTCCGGATGAGAGGTCAGCAGAAGGTCCAACAGGGAAGGTGTATGATCCTCCACATCTGGAATCCGCGTAGGCGAAGTAACCAGTTGTGTCAGACCATATGCCAAAGCAAAGTCATAAACAGATCTCCCCGCATGATCGGTTAAACGTGAACCGAGCCATTCGGCATGGTGGGCGTTAAAATCGCCAAGGATCACGATCTCTGCGGATGGGACCTGTTGTAGCAAGGAATCTGTAGCCATTTGGACGTGGTCGATGAGTCGGTCTGTTTCGGCATTACCGCTATGGGACCTATAGAGGCACCCGTAGACGCGCGGATGGTCGTCGCTGTCTACGCGTAGCCAAAGGATGGACAGGTCCGAACCTTCAAGACTGCCGAGGCGTCGAGAACAGATGTCCTCTCTGACATACACGCAAACTCCAGCCCGAGGCACAAAGGAGTGCTCCAATTTGTACCCCGGGCAGGAGAGATACGAAATATCAGCCGGAGAGGAAACCTGCGTCTCGGTCAGAAAGAGCAAGGCCGGCTTCGCCGTCTCGAGATGGTAGTGGACGGCGTGTAGGTTAGAGTGAAGTCCCCTGATGTTGCAGAAATTCACGGATAGCGTGGCAGGGGTCGCCTTGGTATTGTTGCTCAGTTTGCCCCAAGCAGTTTTGTTTTTGAGCGGAATTTTGCCCCCCCCAGAATACGCGGGGCAGCCTGAGCACCCACGCTCAGGATTGGAATAACATGGTCGTGGATGCTCAGCGAGGGATTCTCCAGGGGTACTGGTACCCTCCTGGGGTAGTCTACTTTGTAATTCCGCTACCATGTTGATGGGGGGGGGGGGGGGGGGGGGGAATTGGGCCTTCGGCCACCTGCATTCACCAGACGAAACGCAGAAGCAGAGCCTCTACTTCACGCCGGTATTCTGTGAGGTCGTGGTACCAACCCGGCTCGAGCCTGCCCATACGTGCAACAGCAAAAAACTGCTGCGGGGCTCTACCACCGTTAAAAACAAAAACTGAACTTTGTGAAAGATAGATGAGAGGAGACCAGCATTAGACGCGTAAATATCACGAGGCATATATATTAATTCCTCGAGGTTCTGAGTTGGAGTATAGAAGGAACCACAAGGTATTGTTTCCCTACCAAAGACTAAAAAGTTTGGAGTAAAGCCAGTAGCTACATTTGTAGCGCTGTTCATTGCGTACTGAATTTTAGTAAGATGGTTTTCCCATGATCTATGATCGTCTCCTACTAGAGATGCTAGAGCTGTAATAATTGTACTATTAAACTTCTCCGTAGGATTAACCTGAGGACAATATAAAGCTGTGTGAAAAATAAAAGGAACGTTATAAGAATTTAAGAATGAGTGGAATTCTCGCGACTGAAATTGAACAGCATTGTCCATTATAATAGTTTGGGGAATGCCATGAACTAGAAAAACTGAATTTTCCAAAACATTAATAATATTAGCTGAAGTAGCACGTTTAAGGGGAAAAATCATAGTATATTTAGTAAAATTGCAGTTAATTACTAGAATATACTGATTTTAAATTGGCAACAAGTTGAGATTAAATTGGCAATATCCTTAAACATACCAGGCCAATAGTATTTTAAAGATATTTTCTTGAATGTCTTGAAGATACCAAGATGGAGTTCTGAAGAGGAACCATGGTTAACTTTAATAATTGCATGTCTATCTTGAGGTAGTAGAACTTCTTTCCAAACAAAGTCATCGTTTAGACGATCGGGAGAATGGATGCAGCGGTAAAGTTTGTTATCCCTGATAGTGTAGTTGGGATATGAGTCTGGGTTGTTGGAGCATCCGAGAAATATCTTGTTGTAGTGCTCAAGTTTACGATCAGGTGGTTCTTCAATCGTAATAGGATGTACGCCTTGAGGTGAAATTTCTCGTGTATCAGGACGTTCTTGATTCTTATGTCTTGATAATAAATCTGGAACAACGTTATCCTTTCCTTTTTTATGTTTCAGGACAAAGTTAAAGCAAGATAAGCGTAAAGTCCAGCGAGCAAGTCTTCCTGATGGATTCGATAAGTTCTGAAACCATTTAAGTGCAGCATGGTCAGTATATATTGTAAATTCTTTACCATTGTCTAGGTAACATCGCCAATGTTCTAACGCAGTCATTACAGCCAATGTTTCTCTTTCAGTAGTTGAGTAATTCTGTTGATTTTTGTTTAGTGCTTTACTCATGTAAGCAATCACGACTTCTTTGTCATCTTGATGTTGAGTAAGTATTGCTCCTATGCCATAGTTTGATGCATCACAATGTACAGAGAAGGGTAGTTCGAAGTTAGGACAAGCAAGGACAGGAGCAGTTACCAAAGCTTCTTTAAGTTTCTGGAAAGCAGCTGCAGCTTGTGAATTCCAAAGAAATTTAGGAGCGTTCTTCCCGGAACAGGTTAGTTGATTGAGTGGAGAGGCAATAGTGCTAAAGTTTGGAATGAATCTTCTGAACCAGCTGCAGGTGCCTATGAATCTTCGCACTTCTTTTCTACAAGTAGGTACAGGATATTCTAATATAGCTTTTATTTTATCTGGATCAGCACGTAGACCGTACTCGTCCACTAGAAAACCAAGGTATTTCAGTTCTTTCCTGAAGAATTGACTCTTCTCAAAGTTAATAGTCAGATTAGCATATGAAAGTTTTTCATGAACTTTCATAAGGAGTGATATGTGTTCATCAAAAGTCTCGCTAATGATAACGATGTCGTCCAGATAGCAAAATACCTTGTTCTCAAATTCAGGAGTAAAAAGCATATCCATTAATCTTTGTAGAGTTGCAGGTGAATTAGAAAGACCAAAAGGCATTACCTTGAATCTAAACATACCTCTTCCAGGTACATAAAATGCAGTTTTATCCTTATCGGCAGGATTCAAGGGAATCTACCAAAATGCTTTCGCAATGTCGATGCTTGATAAGTATTTGGCATTCCTCAAGTTGTCCAAAATTTCGCTTATTAGTGGCAGACTATAAGCATCACGACGTGTAACTGAGTTAAGCTTCCTGCGGTCTACGCAGAAACGCCATTCACCATTCTTCTTCGGAGTGATGAGAACTGGAGATAACCAAGGACTTTCGCATTGTTCAATGACGTTCCATCGCAGCATCTTGTCAACTTCATTAATTAACGCCTTTTGTTTTTCAGGAGACAGTCTGTAACATCTTTGTTTGATTGAAAGAGAATCACCAGTGTCAATCTTGTGGGTGATTAAGTGTGTGCATCCCAGGATACCTTTTTCTTCAAAAGAAATTGTCTTGAAGCATTGGATGATGTCATTAGCGATGTTCTTTTGATTAGGAGTTAAATGCTCATAAGGTAAAACTTTAGTATCTTTAGTTTCGATAGCAGAACATTTAGATTCTGTAAAGTTAAGAGAAGATAAAACACTAGGTAAAAGATTAAATTTTCTCCAAAAGTCAATACCTAATATTAGCGAAGGAAATATTTCAGGGAAAACGTAAGCTTTAATTAAATGAGTTTGATTATTGAAATGAATAGGTAAGTCAAAATAACCCAAGGAATTAACTTTTTGATTATTAGCAGTAGAGACAGTAATAAGATTTGACTTGAAAAGTTTGCAGCCCAGTTTAAGAATTTCCAAATGAGAATTATTACCCAGAATAGTTACTGAACTGCCAGAATCTAGTAAACCAGATAAAGTTAAGTTATAAATTTTGACATTAACGAATGGACGATTAAGATCTTGTTCCTTGGAGTAGAGTGTAGAAGAGATTTTGTAACAAGAAAAGAAGTTTTGAATTGTTTTAATCCAATTAGTCCAATCGTCGTTATCAAAGTTTAAGTTACTTTTCAAGTCAGCAGTTAGTTTTTTGAACTAGTATTAGGTTTGGGAGAACAAGTAGGGCAATCTGCAGTTTTAAAACCCTTAAGACCACATTTGAAACAAATCACGAATCGTGGTTGAGTACAGGTGTTCAAAGAATGACCTTGTTTACGACAGCGAACACAAAAAGAGCTTTCTTGAGGAGCTTTAGTTTGAGAGAGACTATTAACTTGTCTAGAAGGGTATTTGTAGGATGAAGTGAATTTATTTAGGAGGGGAGGAGAAGGTCGTGAGTTATTAGAAGAATTTGGAGAGTCAACTGAACTTGAAGTGGAATGCTTGTAGTTGAATTCAGAAATAAGAGGACTTTGTTGTACATTTGGTTCTTTAAATTGTTTGTCTCTGTCTAGGAATTTTTCACAGTTTTGGCAAGTAGCCAAAAGAGAGTCGATAGAGTCAATGTCTTTTAGAGCTACGAAGACTGAATAACATGGGCGAATATTCCTCAAAATAATCTCCAATTGTTCTGTTTCAGAAAGTTTCTTCGAAAGACGAGAAAACATTCCAGACATGAGGTAAATATAGATGACAATAGGTTCATCTCGACCTTGAGTTCGATTCCTAATCGCTTCTAAAAGTTTGTGATCATAATCAAAACCACCAAAGTTTTTGATTAATAACGAAGAAAGTTCGTTCCACGTTAAGTTTGGATTCTGATTATATTTAAATTTGAACCAATGAAGAGCATTGTCAGTGAAAATTTCAAACGCTTGTGAAATCAACAAGTCTTTGGACAAGCCACGAGCTATACAGTATTCTTCCAGTTTTTGAAGAAAGGATCTTGGACAGCTTTTACCATTGAAGGTGTGTCTTTTCAGATCTTTGAAGACGTTGGTTGGAGAAAAAGATTGAGGTGGTGTTGGAGGATACGGGGTATGGACCTGAATAGAAGTTTGAGAAACAAGAGGGAGTTCCGTGACAGTCGGGTCAACCGTGACAGTCGGGTCAACAGGAGGGTCAAGTAATGGAGGGTCATTTTCAGTTGGAGCTGGAGTCAAGGATTCAAATTGTTTAGTAATATCGTCATATTTCATCTTCAAAGTATCGAAAATAGCTTTAAAGTCTGGATATAAGTCAGTATCTATTCGTTCCAATCTGTAAAAGACACGATTAATAAAAGTTTCTATTAGTCGCAAGTATTTGGTTTCGCCTTGTAAAAATTTTTTAATTTTACAGTCCAAGTAGGTCAAAGTAGAATCAATTTGAGACAAGTCATCCTCAAACGGAATTGGAGAAGTCAGAATATCTTCAGGGTGAGAATTCGCAACTAAACGCAAAACCTGTTTTTTTAGAAGTAAAACAGTATTAGCTGGTTCCTCATATCTAATCTTCACTTCGTATTCGAGTTCGGCCTTGTTAAGGAATTCGTACTTAATAACCCTTTTCATTGTTATAATTATGTGTAAAGTTAAGTTTAAGAAATAAAAATTTAATTAAAAATTATACCTCTTTAAGTTATCTAGAATAAAAATATTAAAGTGATGAATGTAAGTGAAGTGTTGAATGTAGGTCTAAATATAATCTAGATAAGTTGAAACACTAGATGAAGTGTTGTTTTAGAATTTGGAAGATTATCTACAATAAAATTATTAAAGTGATGAATGTAAGTGTTAAATGTAGGTCTAAATATAATCCAGATAAGTTGAAACACTAGATGAAGTGTTGTTGTAGAATTTGGAAGGTATGAAAAGGATGAATAAATAAAGAGTTAAGAACGAAAGAGGAAGCAATTAAATCAAAAGGAATGGACAAGGCGCAGTAAAGGTGAAGAGAAGAGAAAGAGAACTTTTACGTTGGGCGCCAAATGTCGTGAAGCGAAAATAAAGAACAAAAAGAATCTAACCTAAGAACAACAAAACAACAAAAATACAACAAAAACAAAAAATATATTTAAGATTCAAAGATATTTACAATTTTATATAACAAAAATGGAGTATGAATATGAGGATGGATGATGCGATTTACAGATTATTTAAAAAAAAGTAACAAAAAAAAAAAGAGATTTGTGCCGAAGCTGAGTCTGAAGATCCAAGGTGTGCTCTCAGCGCCTGGAACGAGCACGCACGGCGTAGGTGAGAAGGCGTGGGCGTCTCTAGGCGACGACCTCCGGTAAATGTGGTAATTGCAGGATCCGGCGATTCCAGGCCAGACAGGGGCTTGCAGGATCCTCAGCGGCTTCAGACAACACAGAAGCCTGCAGGATCCGGTGACTGCAGGCGGGACAGAGGTTTGCAGGTTCCGGTGACTTCAGGCGGAACCGAGGTTTGCAGGTTCCGGCGACTCCAGGTAGAGCAGAGACTTCTAGAATCTCTCTACTCCACATCTAGAATCCGCGTAGGCGAAGTAACCAGTTGTGTCAGACCATATGCCAAGGCAAAGTCATAAACAGATCTCCCCGCATGATCGGTTAAACGTGAACCGAGCCTTTCGGCATGGTGGGCGTTAAAATCGCCAAGGATCACGATCTCTGCGGATGGGACCTGTTGTAGCAAGGAATCTGTAGCCATTAGGACGTGCTCGATTAATCGGTCTTTTTCGGCATTACTGCTATGGGACCTATAGATGCGCGGATGATCGTCGCTGTCTACGCGTAGCCAAAGGATAGACAGGTCCGAACCTTCAAGACTGCCGAGGCGTCGAGAACAGATGTCCTCTCTGACGTACACGCAAACTCCAGCCCGAGGCACAAAGGAGTGCTCGAATATATTTTCGTTATATTCCTTTCATGCTAGGAAAAAAAATCGACTAAATTCCAAAAATGACCGAAATAGCTTCGAAACAAGCCTCAATATATACGAAGTTCTAGATCATTTAGACGTAAAATTTATATCAAAATAATCATTAACATTTGCTTAAACTATACTATTATTTTTACTTTTTAAATTGTTACTATTATATTTTAATTAATTAAATAATAGTTCCATATATTTCACTGCGCCGCGCCGGCCATCTGCGATTCACTATCGCGTGAGCGCTTGTCGAGTTTGGACCTGCGTCAGTGTATTTAGCGCGCTGCGTCGTTTCGTTACAATCGTAGTGTGTGTCGATTGTTTCGTAGTGTACATCAATTGCTTGCGTGCTAGAGCATCGTCAACTACGACCGCAGTTTTTGATCGATCGGTTTAAAACTATTTTATATGGTTATATTTTAAATCACGTCTCTTCCATCAAACATGGTAGGGACAACGAGTCTGTAGCATTGGCACAATTGAGCAAACAAGAAAATATTATTAAGGAAAAATGTGGTCTATTCATTGACCTAGATCATTGCTATTGGCTTCACCTAATGGTTTATGCAGTAACGGTCTTATTGAAGTTAAATGTCCTCTTTCAGCTTTCGAAATAGATTTTGACACGGCCTTTCGACCAAAAAGAATGTTAAAGGATCAGATTCAATGATTTAAATGTAACATTACATCATGATTGGTTTTACCAAATCCAAGAACAGCTTCATTTAGCAAATAAAAATGTCTGACTACTTGCCATAATATGCACTAGCCCAGATTGTGCAGTAAAAGAACTAAAAATTTACAAATACGACCAATTTTTGATTTTCAATATGTTACCCAAGTTACAAGCTTTTTATGAAAAGTGTGTACTGCCTGAAATTATCGATTCGAGAAAAGTTCAGTCAATGCCGTCGAATGAAATATTCTTTTTATAAAAAATATGGTAATTGACTGTAAGTACCAACTAAAAAAATATTACTTACGTTTGGTTCTTTTAGTTATTAAAACAGGTTGCAATTGTACTATTTATTTATTTATACCACTATTCTACCGGTAGTAGACATAATCGATTATTAACATTCGATTACTGTGTAACAATTAAAATATTAATGTGTACTTATTTTGTCACAAAATTTCTTAAATAATGAAAAATATATCAAAAACAGTATATAATTAATAAGATAACATTAAAATGACACACATGATTTTTTTTATTGTTTCTCTCCTTATTTT